CATTGTCTTGGTTGCTAAATATTTTCAACAGGGAAAAGAACAAGATCTATGTAAAAAAATAGAATGCTTCATATTTTTAAGATCAGTTATAATATTGTACAGATATTAGACACCTCTAACCCAGAAACATTTGATATCAATTATGCCTTCGCTGGGAATCGAATCATGGATCTCCCAGGTTGCAATCTAGACCAGATGACAGGAAAAGGGGGAAACTCAATAGATCAAATCCTGGTAGTGAAGAGTTACCATTCACTATATTTTAGCTCCGATGCCGCTCTAAAGACATTTGATTTTAGAAGCCGGGAAACTTAAGAAATCAATTATGTCATCACTGGGATTCGAACCGTGGATCTTTTAGTTGCTATCTGGACCAGTTACACCACGAAGGCACATACGCTGAAATGGGATTGCGATAGTTTTTTTTACAATGTGTGTTGGCCTGCGAACCATGAAATTAAGTTTTCGCAAGCTTTGTGAAAAATACTAAGCACAGATTTCAGATTAATAGGTGTCTTAATAATAGCAATAACAATAATAAATAATTAATCATATCAGATTACTTTGTTGCAAGTTCATGGATTTAAGTTCTTCTGTTAAGAATTATTCATTTAAAAACAACACCTTAAATAAATGAGTAAAAAAAAAAATATTTTTCTCTGATAAGCTAACAACCTGATTAGAATATAATAAAGCGTGTCTTTTGATTTTTTTCCCAAGCCATAATTATTTTTATTGTTGCATGCATTTAAAGGTTAACGTCCAAAATAAATTACATGTCAAAAACTTAATACTTATTCTTTTCATTTATTTTATTTACCATTGTAATTTCGAGCTTTTTCTGAAATAATATTGGTAAAATTTTGAAACCAATAGACTTCTTTTATTTCAGGAAGTTCTTTAAGTTGCTGAATTATAAGCCGGCATTTCTAAAAATTTTAAAATTAAAAAAAAAAATTATTCCTGCGTAACTAACACATATAAACTTTCGTTTCCTTTCACATCTCCTTCATTTTCCTGTACACTTTTTATTTTTTTCCCAAAATTCTATATCGTTGCAAGAATCAGAAGACTGAAACTGTTTAAAAAGGAATGTTTGAAACTCGTTTATGAAACCGAAATACTTGTTACGTTCAAAGCATTCCTTCTGTGGTTGCTTTGAATGGTTTCCAAGGAATGTTTAGCATTTTCTGAAACGATCACGACTGTCATAAACTTACAGACTGTGGCAAAATGTGCCAGTTTTAGTACATTAATGAAGTAATCAGCACTCCGACCTTTATTAAATTTCTTTATTAAATATCATGTTCTCGGCTTACGCCACATAAAATTTGGTTCAACAGGAAAATCCCACAATATTTAAAAACAGCCTACCTTTGGAATTTCCAACAGACACTGTCGCGCGCTGGAGATAAAAATATTTTATTCCGTACAGTGTTGCCACTGCTCGCTTTGAAATTGTTGAATTTAATCAAAAATTCCTTAAAGTTTTATAAAATATGTAATAGATAACAAAAAAATTCAAAATTCAAAATTCGGGCTTCCAGGTCCCCATGTGCGGGTGGAGGATTACGTTATTCAAAATTTGATGGCTCTGTGTACCGTTGTCTATCACAGTGCGAGAAACATACATATAATCATGCAGATTCTTCATTATTTAATTTCTTTAAATACAATAAAAGGCGATAATATTTAGTGGCAGCGAACTGAAAAGTTATAGAACGTATTTAAGCGTTTTGGCGCAAAATGCCGTTTCGAAGCTAATATTACACTCGGGACTAACGTCCCTTTTTGGCTAAAAAACAAAGCAATTATTTCAGAAAATGCAACTTCGCTTACGGTCATATTGAAATTATGATTATCGCACATGGAAGTTTTCTATATTACGATGCATCCATGCGTTTGCCTCATCAGAAATTTATCCCTTTTAAATTTCTGAATTAAAAATCTCGCAAAATATCATTAATAGCGCGTTATTAAGCATGTTGTTACTTAACATGTCTGGTAAAAAGGAAATGTTAAAGTGACCAAGTGAAATATTAAATATATAAAACCTTGACGTAAGTTTGTTATATGATTATAAAACTTTGCTACTCATTCCTTGGACTTTGCTCCAGGAACAACTCTCTTCCTCATAAACCACGGACAGCTGATAATTTTTACCAACAAAGAAGATATCCTTTCGGAATTAAGATTTATTACGATGCTTTGCGTCACTTGACGGTGATATTAGGGAAGCATCCGCCTAGCGTATTTTCTGAGGGACAATATGCGGGTTTAATTATTAATGGACTGAAGCATCTAATTATTATCAAGCATAAAAGAACTTTATAAATATTACGTACTCGTACATTCAAAAAACTGAAATGTTATAGAATATATATTATTTTTGAAGATTAATCACTAGAAATTTAAGTATATATTTTTTAAATAGACTATTTCCCACCGTCGTTCAAAATTTTAGCTTACAAATAGGGTTAAAGGATTAACTGCTAATAGTTTACAGATTTACTTGCAAATAGTCTTAAAAGACTCGGTCCAACCGACGGCCGAGTAGTTAAAATCGCTAGATACCGGGAGTTTGACGCAAGTATCTTACTTAAAACCACCTAAGGCAGACGGTTTCCAACGTTTTGTGTGTGTGTGTGAAAGGGGGCTTGTGAACATCCTAAGTCCTACAACTATGTATATGTACACTTATATATTTATTTGTAGGCCACTAAAATTTGATAATTAGACAGTTAAACAGTTCCTAAATGAAATATTTATTTATATTTATTATAATAATTAAATTATTTAATGTAATCAAAAATGTAAAGTACTAATTTTGGTAAAATTTTAAATGATAAAATTGAAGCATTACTTTTAGAAAAATAGTTAAAAAAATAAATATACTATTTGAAACAAAATATACACATTTATACCTAAGGTTATGAAAAAGGTTGGTTGGCACCGGTAATGAGATCCTTGGTGACTGATATTTTAATATTAGCATATTGATATCTGCCTCAAATTTTGTGACAGTTATCTTAACATTTATCATTTAGCTAATTATCTTCAACTTCAAGCATCAAAGGTTGAATATTAAAAAGGAAATTGTAGAATAAAAGTCACTAAAAATATAAAAATAAAAAAAGGATTGAAAATTAATATATATATTTAATTTTATGAAAGGAGTTCAGCCGCCCCACTGCTCATCCCATGAACTGCCCTTGGTTGTAGATTCTAATGGAAACACAGTTCACAAGAACAGTAAATTTCATCACAATGATATCAATTAACCTGTATCTAATGAAACGACTATCTCTGAATGACGTTTTCTAGATTAGTTGGTGCTTTAGTAAAGATTTTTTTCTTCGAGCATTTTCTATTGGACAGACCTTTTTTTTCCCGTTAACTTAAGAAGCCTTCAGAAATACAAGTATCTTCTAACAGCGAAAGGAAGTAAGCAGAAAAATATTCTTTTCTACTAGAACACCATACAAGGACATTTTTACTTTAATGAGTTCCCTTTTTTTTTTTATTTGATTACTCTGCCTGGATATTTTCAAACAGCTCTATTAAGCAATCATTTTCTTCAAAAACAATAAAAAAAATTATGTTGTGTTTAATGGATACTAAAATATATACTCTGAAAAATAAGTGAAATTTTGATTTTAAAACTGTTTAAAGAATACTACTGTATATTTATTCACAGTTTCCAGATTCAAAACTACACTGAAGAAGCATTTACGTTCATGCGTTTATCAGAACTAAAACGGTAGTCTTTTGCGAGGGTGTGGAATAATGAAAACACACACAAATAAATAAATAAAATAAACAAAAAAAAAAAAAAAAAAAAAAAAAAAAAAAAAAAAAAAAACTCAGTTTCAATTATAAGTAACTAATTAAACATTTAATGGTATATGCATATGTTTTTTTTTAACTTTCGTCTATAAATAATTGGCAAATAAAGTTAAAAAATATCATGACGTAGTTCAGAGAAGAATTTTTGTCTTACTTACTAATATTTAGTGAGAAATACCGCTCAAGATGCTAATAAGTCTTTTTAGAAGAATACAGGCTGAATTTAAATGAATTAAAGGAATATTTAACTGAATTTAAATGAGTTTTTCAATTCTGAATTGCGCAAAAATAGGTGTTTTCTATGTAATTCTGTACGCGAATGTAGTTTTGTAATTTTCAAGTATCGAATTAACTTGAATGTTTATTCTTTCTCAAATCATATTAAATCGCCAATTAAACGAATGTATAAAACCCCAAAACTTAATTCCGTGTGATATTTTTAAATATCAAGGCTTATTTCTTAACAATCCCTGCTAAAATTTAGTCCATTTGCATAATAGATAGTATTGCCTTATTCAACTAGTATTTACATGAAATGTGTTTTAGGAATTTAAGTCAGTGTTCGCATTATCAAGAGTAACAGCACGGATCAAGGAGTGTTTAACAAGAATTTGTTTTTATCTTCTTGCAACGAAAATAGAGATCATACAGAATGCTATCAGCTGAGATTATGGTAATATTTTTGGCGAGAACTTCTGACGTCTTTTTTTTGTTTTGAATTTAATTATTTATAATTTCTCGAATATTTAAAGTAAAAAACTTAATTAAATTAAAATATTCAAAATCTAATTAATTAAAATAAATACCTTTTTGTTATGCGACAGTCGAAAAATTCTTTCACAATCATCGAAATTTAAACCGTTGTCAAATGAAAGGCAAATGTTTCCTTCACTTCCGCCACTACATTATTTTCCCCACACGATATTGTTCTTGTTGATAGAATAATAGCAAACTTTCTACTAGTTCGAATGGCAAAAAAATATGATACCAAAAAAGAACTTTAGTGTACAGAAATAAATAATTTAGAATACTATTTATAGTAATTAACATCAATGCAGATCTTCATATTTATATTTAGTAAAGATTAAGTCAAGTTGTAAGGCCGAAGATAATTACAAAATCTTTTCTATGAGTAACAGAGCTGCTGCAAAATATTAAGCTAAGAAATATGAACCTCGAAAACTAGGTTAATTTTATTTTTATTTTACAGTGTCATAATTTTTCTTTTTTTTATTTCGAGTCACATCAGGAACTGAGGTTTAAAATTGAATGCCAGCTCTTGTGCTTTCATTTCATGTATCTAGGAAAGAAACAAACATTTTTTTAAATAGTTCTCCATGTTAAAAAACCGGTTAAATAACTAATTTGCGAAAGAAAAATATATAACTATGTATATATTAATTACTTTGATGAACTATCTAGATAAACAAATAATTCCCTTGTAGCTAAGCTTCTAAACAGTTCTAAATAGCGTTAGAAACTCTTTTTAAAAATTATATTCATTGCGTAAATTCTTACAAAAATAATTATAAATTTAATTAAATTAATATATTAATAAATAATGAAACGCAGGTAAAATTATTAAGAATTATGCCCATATTATTTTTAAATCGTTCAGTTTATCACATTACATGCAATGTATATTTATAATTTTATAGATAAATTAAAATCGTAAACACCAAAGACTGTCAAAACTCTTAGAACAGGTGATTTGCCAGGAAGGATTAATTTAAGATTTTCTAAACCCAAGATTGTCAATAAGTGTGAGAATCTGGAATATGTTAAGCCGTGTATGTGACTAATATTGTGATAGCTGATATATAATATCATGAATGTAAGCGAAAAATACAAAGACTCGACTATAGGCATTTCTAGTGCCAAATTTTGTGCCACCAAATGGAATTAATTTTCAAAAATGGCAGTTTACGTAACCACATGGAGGGTTAAGTATCATTCCTAGTGTAACGAAGTATCATAGTTATTCATTTAGTATTATCATTCATAGTATTCAGAGAGTGTCATTCATAGTGTAACGTCAGTGATAAGGATTAGAATAGAGGTATTTTTCATGTATTAAGTTGCCACACTTCTGAATAGAGTTTCGAAATAATGTGATTAAATTATTAGCATAAAAAATTCTAAGAAATTTGAAGTATTATAATTCATACTTTGCGTACGCTCCCTCTGCGTGTTACCCGCACGGCACTCCAACTTCAGAGCCGGCACGCGCAGGTGTAAATGACGTCACGACCAAGATGGCGACCGAAAGAAACAGAAGTTCGGGATTCTCCCAAATCGTGAGAGCTAGAAGCGCGGAAGAGCCAAAGCACGAGAGTGCGCGGCAGATAAATCTAACCGAAACGAAGCAGCTGTCTCTCTCCTCCACAGAGATAAAAAGAAGAACGTTATTAAAAACCAAAAAGTAAATATGAAAACGGCTGAAGGGTCTGATACCAGGCTCGAAATAAGGGAAAGGCAACATCGCACCTGTTGCTCTAATTTGAGAATCTGTAAACTGATTCGGGAGCTACACTCAAGGATGAGATAACATCCTAAACAATAATTTGCAATATATTCAAGAATATTTCATAGAAATTAATTAAAAAGAGCTGGAAGTTCTGGGAATACAATATTCTAAGTGGCATTTTCTTTCAGTACAGAAACCAAGCATATAGAAGAAAAAATCATATTTAAAATTTAATATGATTATTAAACTTTAAATATGATTAATCTATTATTAAATTTTAAATAGATTATAATACAATCTATTAGTCTTAAATAACTAAATATTCCATACATTAATTTTTACTTCCTTGTACGAAGTAAAAAGGAAGTATTGTAATCGCGAAAAGTTTCAGGCAGCATATTTCAACGAAAATATGCATTTTGACCTCTATCAAATGCAATTTAACGATGTTTTTGTGTGATATCTGTACGTAAGGACAGAATAAAATACTCTTTTCCTTCAAAAAAATTATAAAACTGCTTTAAAATTAATTCTGAAGAGAATTTTTCGTGGCGTCTGTACGAACGTATGTACGTACCTAAGTACATATAAACCATATAAAATTTCAACGTTCTGGGGCTACTCGTTTTTGAGTTACGTACGTATCTCGCATAACTCAAAAACGAGTAGCCTCAGAACGTTGAAATTTTGTATCTAGGACTGCTATAACATGTAGATGTGCACCTCGTATTTTGGTTGCAATCGGCCGCACCAAACGTACATAATATATTTATATATATATATCCACTCTGTTACCCGGCTCAATGATCTCAGTTTCTTTACTCTTATATGTTTTGTAAATTGTACATTTTTGCTTTAAAAATGATTGGTATTATGTTGTTTTTATCTTCCGGTTAAGGTTTTTATGCCTTTAGTAAATCTGTATGCAATATTTTTAAAATTATCAACAATTTAAAGTTGTTTAAGTGCCGCTAAGCCTTTTTTTATGGCGGCCATTGATGTTTACATTTGAAACAGGAGACTAGTGGATTTGTTCCCAGTCTAGAGAAACTTAGCTTCGCAACAACATTAATTTATTATTGCCAATTAAATCATGCTTAATTCTTTCTGGAATTTTTTCGAGGAAGTAAGTGTTTCAGATTTACTTCGTAATTTTTAATATAGATATTTTGAGTTTTTATATATTTTTGCCTTCTCGCGAAGTGAGAACTGAATTAATTAAATGAGAAATACTCAATCGTCTGTGAAAAACTGTTTATTTTTTGTTTTGGTTTGCTTAATTTCTTTTATACATCATTCTAGCTTTATTATAGTATTTGAATAGAACATGTGGCAACGATTAGATAATTCTATTCTTTAAATGATGTAAATTTTGTGCATTATGAGTTATAATATGAACAAAATATATAACACACGGAAAAGTTCCACACGGATCCTGAATTTTTTTATACTATTTCATACATTGATTACATGTTTAATTGCCAATAATATGAGAGCGATAATAGTATCTTCTGAAAAGAATTCTTGAAGCTACTCAGAAATAAGAAAGCGTTACATTACAAACATTCTCTCTTTCTTTTATTTCTGAAGAACAAATGTTCTGAATTTAACATTGTTTATCTGTACGTTGAATACATCCAGATTACTCATTTTTTTTTCTCTCTCTCTATATATATGTATTTATCATTTGGATATTTAAACAGAGCAGTTAAAAATAAAGCTTTTGTCACCAATTCATTTATTTGCATTACTTTACAGAAAAACGGGTCTCTAGCTTGGAAAGAATATTTCATATACTTTTAAAGGTAAAAAAGAAGTATAAAAGTAGAGTTAGATGTAAATGAATATATCTGCATAACAGATAAATGCACAATGTAGTCTCAAATATGATTAGATTAGTAGATTTCTTGTAACATTAAAGAATAAATTATAAAGACGCCTTGTCATATGCGGAAGGCAGTAGCTGACACTAGTAGCAAATGAGACGGAACTCTATGCATTGGAAAACAACTGCAAAGGAATTCAAAGACGAAAAACGTTAGTGAGTTTGATTACTTTTATATCGAAGGTACATTCTGGACGGAAAAAAAAGACAGTTGTATATCTCTCATTCTACTGACGAAATTTAACTTGCGTTTTTCGTGTTTCGAAAGCGAGACTTAGGATATATTAGATTTATATATAGCAATGTTCTGACATAGATATTTTGAGCCGAAATCGCACTTTTTCTGAAATGACATACCGATTTTTTCCATATCTAGCTTCTACTACTCAAATCATGTCAAAGGGGCAAGTTTTGAAAAAATCGGACTGGTATTTTTTTAAAAATTAGATCGCAAAATTTTAGCTCCTCTGTGTTAATTGAATTTGGTATATATTCAATAATATATCTCTTTTTTTTATTAAACTTATTATCTACCTTCTTTCACTGTTCGGAATTTAAGTTCAATCCAAATAAAATCCGCATATATTTTCTGATTTATTTTTAAAATTTGTACTTTCTAGTAATTTTTATAAATATTTCGAAAAAATATTTTAATTATGACCTTTAGAATTTAGATCACCTTAATGCAGATGTATTTCTAGGCATATCTAAAAAAAATAGAGTTTTTTATTCAAAATTTCCAAAGATATAAGTGAATTTATATATTGGTTGGTTTTGAAATTTCGCATATTTTTTTTATAAGCGATAATAACGCCAAATGTGGTTAATACATTTTGTTAAAATTATTTGAACGAATAAACGATGCACCTTTTTTTCCGATCGTGCAGAACGAAAGGGAAAGGAAAATAGGTTACCATAAATTACGAATTTCGCGAAGTGAATTAATTATTCTCGGCGAATGAAAAAAAGCGCCCCGAGACAAATTTTTAAATGTCTCGATAAATTTTTCACCAAATTTTTTTCAGATTTAATATTTAGGCATATTTTGAGCCGTAGAATCGAAATATGGAAAGAATTCAATACGAAATTTCTGTAAAATTCCGATTCTTTGTCAAAATACCAAAAGTCAGAACAATGCTATATACAAATCTAGCATTTTAAGTCGCTCGTTCGAAACATGGGGGGGGGGGGGGGGGGACAAAAAAAACTCAAATTAAATTTCGTCAGTCGCCCTCGTAGAGCACGAGACATAGAACTGTTTCCCCCCTTTTTTTTTTTTTTTTTTTGTTTTGTTTTGTTTTGTGCGAAGTGTACAACGAAAGTCAGATATTCTAGACTTCTGCAACTGCAACCTTCTGGTATTCCATTGTCAAACTGTCGCTCGTATCTAATAAAATAGTGGGAAACATAGTAAAACCTCGAACTAAAATGGGATATATGATGGTACATGCACCATTTCTTGATGTGAAAGGCGACTGCTTTTAGTTGCAAGAAATCATCAGCGTATTTACTAATGACTGATTATTGAGTGGTTTATGCACAAAAACTGTTCAGTATATGGTATTTGCGCATCGGGTAAAAGGTTGTCCAACCTAGTATACCTAATCTAAAAAGCTAGGCATTAATATTTTCCAAAAATGATTAAAATACCTGTTATCCCCTCACATTATAACAGCAGTCTGTTGTGTCTGGAGTTAGTATACTTTTAAGATTACACTCACTGTACGTGTACTATTCGTTTAATAGTAATGCTATAAATGCTAATAATACTATTGTAATTTGTTTAATGGTTGTACTTAAATAGGCTTGACAGTAGCTAATTTTAAACTTATGCAATATGAATGCAATTAATTTTTTTTTAATTAATGGTTAGAGATGTCTGAAAAGTGTTACTATATTTCTGTGGTTTCTTCATGTGCAGTATGGAACATGTCGAAAAATTTATTAACTTTCGCCCGTATTTGATCAAGAACGCCCGGAGTTAATGCTTGCAGTTCATGCAGTGATTCTTTTCCCCAGATTGATACACGTCTAAACTGTTTCATTATAAATCAATATTTTCAAAAGGCTATTGAAGAAGAAATGTAGAAACGTATGATCAAGAAATTATCGGTAATAAAGAATGAATCCATTTCGCTCAGTGTGTTGTCTTTGAAAACTAACGTTTAATATATTATTTATGATCGTAACAAACTGGAGTGGTGCTTCATCTCGGCTGAAAAATATACTACTTGGTTTCTCTTTTCCCTTGATTTCAGAAAGAAAAATTCTCCACAAAGCGTAAATAATGCTCCTTTAACATTTTCCGATATCTAAAATTTTGATATTTTGGTTTTAAACAGCAGTTAACTTCTATATCTATCGATAAAACTATACAGGTAATGAAACAATGATGAAAAGTTAAAAAATATAAAAAAACATCAAGCATTTAAAGGAATTAGCAACTCGCAATCGAGAGTAGATGAAATGTCAGCAAAGAGAAAACAAATGTGTTGCTTCAGCGAAAATGTTTTCACAGCGAAAGTGATTTTCAGAAAAAGAAATATACTTCCTCATAGATTTTTCAGAAAACTTCTTTCATTATTCTTTGTTTACTCAAAAATTTACCATTCTTTCTGCTCCTACAGACTCGCTTTTTTTTAACTTTAATTTCACAATGGGCTTCTCTAAAATTCTTCATTTGATAGTGAAATTTTTCGCTCTAAGTTTACTTCCCGTAGCTATGTGTTTTTTGCTAAAAAATAATACTGTAATTTTTTTCAAAAACATAATGTAAGAGAACTTTTTTTTAATATGTTGCTAAAACTCAAAACAATGTAAGTATATCTTTTACTGTGCTTAAGCTTTCAAAAAAAGGGTTTTATAATCGGAAAAAAATTTAGAATAATTCATAGCAGAAAAACTACTACGACCTGAGTCATGAATATTACTCATCTTTACTGTTTGGAACATTAGCCATTTCTTGTTTTGATTTTGACATTTCTTTTCTCTAAGTATGAAGAAA